AACCGGTATGCCTCAGCATTCCAACTCAATAGTTCATTTTATTTTCTGACAACGGATGTCTGGATGTGCAGATACGGATAGTAAGCATGTTTACGCCAACATAGCAGATATAGGGTTGACTAGTTGTAGCTTTATTTTTTACGCGAATGTGTTGAGTGCATTCGGTGAACTAAAAAGGAATACAAACATAAATAACTGTCATTATAACGAACTAAACAATTTTGACATGTGTGACTTTGCTGCTAACTATTATTTAACATAGTTGCCGTAACCTAAACGATGAGAATTTCATATAAAACAAACAGTTACAAATCATACGGGCCACTTGGAGTGCATGCGTACTTGGACCGACAGTGTGCGACGAAGTATATCTTTATAAAAATGTCATAAACTCAATTCAATGTTGCAGCACATTAACCAAAGCTTTACAACTGAGGATTAAGCCGATTTAAAAACACAACAATCATCAACGCCATCCTTCCACAATATGGCTGCTGTATGTCCCCTTTCCAAGTCGACCAATCAAGTGATTCCTATGAAAATCACGTGACAGCATCTAACCTCCATCATAGTGTAATCGCAGCAAGGTTATCCCTACAGTGGAGATAACAGGTGTAGGTAGCGCTTTGCTCTGCAACAGCAATACCGAAATTCTTTGTCAGGTTGGGACAAAAGATATAACAATAATGATATATATACACAAATATATTACTACTACTACTACTACTACTCGGCGGACGCATCCGAGATGACAAGATTCAAATATATTACAATAATATGATATAACAATAATATAACGGACTGAAAACTCGTAGGTTGTAGAGGTGTGTCCCCTCACCATTGCCTTCGTCCTCTGTAAGCCGTTTCTTGTCTCTCTCCCCAGCAGGCATAGCATCCCTGTCCTCGGCTACCACAAATGAGAGAGACGGCGTCGCGCGGCGGGCGGGCACCATGACCGGTCAGCGCCACCTAGTGGTCGATCCGATCGTGAAAGTCTACCGGCTGGCGCAGCGCGACGTCCCCGCCGCGGCGCCGACGAGCGACGACGACGACGACAGCGAGTCGGCGCCCTCTAGTGGCACGCGCGAGGTCGACTACAGCGTGCTCAACGACCCCGTGCCGCGCAAGGCGCACTCGCTGTACCGCTACAACAACTACGCGTCGCCGCGCGCGCGCCGCAGCGTCACGTTCAGCGACGCCTCGCTCAACGCCGCCGCCGAGCGCCCCCTGGAGGACGCTGACAGCGACACGTCGGAGAGCTACGCGGCCGTGCGGCGGCTCGCTCGCAGCGCTCTCGGCGACAGAATCGCCGCGACGCGATATGCCGACCGCTCGTCCAGCGGCCGTCCCTCGACGTCCCCTGGTGGCAGTTCCGCGCGGCTTGTTGAGACGAGCGGGGGCAGCCTGCCCGCGGGGCTCTCCGTCAACAACTGGGTGAGGCGAGGCGAGTTATCGCCGACGTGGCGCGTGCCGTCGTCGCTCGCGCGTCGCCATGACGACGGAGGAGGAGGAGCGAGTCTGGTCGTCGAGCGGCGGCTGGATGAGAAGAAGCTAGCGCGGCTGAAGCGGCGCATCCGCGAGCAGCAGCAGGAGCGGCAGCAGCGTGAGGAGGTGCGGCTGGACGAGGCGCGCGCGGCTCGACGCGCCGTCGCCCAGGCGACCGCCGTCGCCACGCCGACCGACTCCGATGCAACGCCGCTGTCGTCGGACGACGGCGCACCGTCGGAGGAGCGAGCGCTGGTGCCTCGCCATGACGACGAGCCGACGTACGCGCGGCTGTCCGTCCGCAAGGTGGTCAGACTCGGCCAGGCGCCGTCCTACCGCGGATTCAGCGACGTCGGAGGTCACGTGGTCGTCACGGCGACGGCGACTCGATCCGAGCATGGCCCGATGGGAGTGGAGATCGCTCGCAGTCTCGCGTGCACAAAGTCGACGTTCCCAGCAGCGCGCTACGGCAAGGCTGCACGGTCGCAGGCGCTGCCCAGCCGCAAGGTGGCGCCGCCTGTTGTCGCTGAGCGGCCAGCCGCCCCGAAGCTGAGTCTCATCACGCCGTCGTCGTGGCGACTCGGGCAGCGTGCGATCCTGCGTGAGCTCGGGCCCTCGCCGCGAGCAAGCCCAAAGAAGAAGTCCGCGAAGAATCAGCCGCTGACAAAGGGATCGGACGATGATAATGATGGCGGGACGCGAACGAGGAATCGATTTGCGGCGGCCGCAGCGGTCAGCGACAGTGACCCATCCGACGTGAAGCCACACAGCTTAACCAGCGACAACGACAAATCCGACGACGAACCAACGAACGAGAGACCCCACGGCGATAAACCCGCGCGAAAGAAGCCCTCCGACGATCAGCCAGAGAAAGTCTCCAGCTCCGACACTTCCCTGAATGCTGACCCTCACACCGATACCGACCCTCCCCCTGACCACTTCACAGAGACAGCGAGAGCCCTCCTCGACGACATTAACATGAGATTCGTCGCGGAGGCGGACGACGGAGAAGCCGTGGCGACGGAGAGGAAGCCGGCTGCGAAGCCGCGCGCGCGTTCGAAAAAGAGGAAGGCCGTGAAGGTGCCCGAGGAGCGCGAGCCGCCAGCGGAGAAGGTGCGGCACTACGACGCCGAGAAGGTGCGCCGCTACATGGCGAGGAAGCGCGCGGACAGGTGCTCGCGGCTGCTCGAGGACCGGCAGCAGCGGTCGGTGTCGGCGCGCGACCGCAAGGCCAAGCTGCAGGAGCTCGCGCGGCGGCAGCGGAGCGCGGCGAGGGCTAGCGCGCGCCGTCCGCCGCGACCCCCGCCCGCGACCGCCGCCGCCCCGCCCCCGCCGGTCGACGACGGTCGAGGGAGCGACGACGAGTCGACGCTGAGAGACGGCGAAGCCACGCTGGTCGGCGAGGGACTGGAGATGGAGGAGGATGCAGGAGGATGCGGAGCCTCTAGGAGGACGGCGGGCGTCCTGGACGACAGTGACGAGTCCGCCGTCTGTGCGCCGCTCGCCGACTCCGCCGTTGCCACGGCAATGGAGGTTGGCATCCAGACGCCGCTCGAGCTGCTGGACGGCATCACGAGGATTCCGCACGTGGTCGCTGCCGGCGACGAGGCACCGGCGATGTCCGACGTCGTCGGCTTCCTGCGTGACGCCGACGTGGCGCCCCCTGGTGGGAGGCTGCGGACGGTCGAGCGGCAGGAGAAGATGGCGGCAGTGCTGGCGTCGGCGAAGTCGCTGCAGGTGCGGCTGAATGAGGAGATGCAGCAGCTCGTGACGAGGGTGCGGTTGCCGTGTGATACGGTCGCTACGGAGGCTGCGCAGGTGGCTGGAGGGAGAGGCGAGGATGCCACGGACGAGATTCCAGGTAAGACTGAGCTGGAGTGTTCTCTTGTTTCACGGCAAGGCCGACCGCATCATAAGCTAAGCGCGCGTTCGTACATGCGGCACGTGCATCGATTTCAGTCCCTAACTAACTTATAGCAGCTTAAGTACGCTTGCACACCTTTGCGTGCACCGATACAGGTACGTACGCATTCGTGCGCGCACACATAGACAAAGCACGCTCACATGTAAACACATGCGCATGGTCACGCATGCACATACCACAGCACCCACCCACATTAAACCCATGCACCTGCACATCACGCACACTCGTTCTTGTTTTATTCAGGCGTTCGCAGCGTGAGGCGGCACGCCCGAGCCGCGAAGGAACGCAAGGAGAGAAAGCGGGAATTGCGTAGGAGAGATCAGGCATTCGGTGGAGGGGCGGTGGCCGGCACCACCCAGCTCTCACACTCCTACGCAGTGCCTCACCTCAAACCTCAGGTGAGCAAGCCCCGCTACGACGCGACGAAGCTTTAATTAACGAGTGGGGATGCACCCGCTAATTAATAAGATGGGTTGCGCAGTGATGTGGTGCATGCGTCCATGCGGATGCAGAGAGGAGGGGGGGGCGTATTTGCATTATTCATGCTGCTAGGCAGTGAGGCATTTACCATTTCTGATCACAAGTGTGTATACATGAGTGTGTATAGCCTACCTACTCTTCATACAAGCACATCTGAATTTTTCCCACAATTTGAACAAGGGTTCATCGGTTCAACTCGTCCTGGCATTCATATAAGTTTTCCCATGCTTTTTTCCTCACCACTCGTGCGTGTATTTGAGATGGGGGATTTTCTGTAGGTTTTCGAATTTGTCACTTAAAGGAATATTTGCAAGATTATTGCTCAGAAATGCTCAATCCGAAAAAATATATAGTGAAATATAGTTTCACCTCACAGCTGATATATGACTGATTACACTAACTTGAAAGACACTAAGATTTTATGGAGTTATACTTATAGCATAGAAAATTGGATATGAACACATCGTAACACAATGAAAATATCATCGTGTGGCGAGATTGGTTAAATGTGTCAACTTGTAGTTGTAATTTGCAAACGAGATTGTGTGAGAGACGTGTAAGTCTATGGACGATAGCTGACGCTACTTACCGGTCTAAGATTACAAGAAAAGGGGGTGGTAATCGAACGAGTTTGAAACTTGCACGTTTTGGTGGATACGAAGGTTCTAATACATTTTATCGTTACTCTAGACAGTTGCTGTTACTCAAGCAATAATGGTAGGTATCGTAAAAGTGGGGAAAACACTAGACAAATTTCGAAATTATGGCTTTAAGCAGGTAACGCTTTTTCGCTTATTTTTGCACATGCGTCCAAATGGAATTTCGCTGAGCATTTATAAATTCTTGTGTGCAGGCGGGAGGCGGAAGCTGGGACCCTCACGCCGCATCGTCGTCGTCGCTGCCACCGCGCGTCAACGGCGAGCTGTATGCGCGGCCCGCAGGAGCGACGGACGCCGTGGCGCGGATGCTCGGCGACGCGTGGGCGCGGCCGCAGCCTGATCCCTACAGCGTCATCAACCTGGTGACGAGTGAGCTGGGCAACACGTACCTGCACGCCGACGGTACGTACGTACGCGCGAACGTCGGCCGATTCATCGCCGCCACGACCCGGTTTTCGCGTCGCGAAGAATCTGTCGTGCTGCAGATTTTTTCTGGTATCGAACGCATGTACCGCGTGCTGCTTGGGAATGGTCGTAACAGGGTGTGAATGCATGTACGAGCTTCACAGTGTTTGCTTCACTAATTGTGTACCGACTGATTGCACATGTGTCTATCTGGGATATATATAAAATTCTGGGTGAAAGTTTTCCAACACGTATAAATATGTGGGAGGTTCAACAACGTAGCAACAATATGCACGAGAGCGTACAGCTTGTCACAGCTCTCAGATAGATAATTTTTCCCTTAAATGTGTCACGGTGATCTCCCGTCGCACTGCATCGATCAACCTCCTCTCAAGTTCGTTGTTGTTTCGAGACGGATCGTCGATTTTTAGCTCGCCTTGACCAGTTGACATCGTCAAGATGAGCTATTCAATTGCCATGGGGGTGTCGTCCGTTCGTCCGTCTGTCCGTCAACATTTGGCTACGGTCAACGATAATGCAAGAACCGTTTGACTCACATGTTTCAAATTGCATATAGTTGTTACTCTTATGGGAGAGGTTTGAACGTCCTATTCTGGAGCATGCCAGTTGACCTACATTCGAGCCACGTCCACTTTTTGGCAAAAATGGAAATGGCCACAAGTCAGTTCAGGTTCAATGGGTTTTGCTCATTTTTGGTATGTGAATGAATGAGGACTGGCCCCAAAACATATCACACAGGTTTTTAATTATTTTTTTAATTATGCAAATTAGGTAGATTTTGGCAATTTCACTATGCATTTCAATGTCTGCCTACGGTCAACGATAACTCAAGAACTGTTTGACCCACATGTTTCAAATTGCATGCAGTTGTTACTCCTATGGGAGAGATGACAACGTCCTCTTACGTTTATTTCGTCTAACTGGTCAACAACTCTACAATCATAAATATATACATCTAATATTGTGTTTTAGATTCTTTGTTACAGTAATTTGACTG